CAATCCTTTCAAAGAAATGGGCACAGACCTCATTGCCCTAGATACTGGTGAGGTCATTGACCATGAGATCTCAAACTCCCTCAGGGAAGTCCCTAATATCGGCAAAGCCATGTTCACAGAGTTTGTAAGGGACAGAATAGAAAAGGCCACCAAGCCTCTTTCCGATGTCATTCCAAGGGTCAATTTTTACACATTCACCAACCGGCCACCTGTGGATCTGAAGAAGGGTGCAAGCAAGTTGGGGTCTGCCAGAGCAAATACTCTGCTTGTCACCAAACTTTTTATGTCCCTACAAGCCCGTCCTGATCTGGAAATTGATGATTTCTTCAGGCATGAGAATCAGCATGAGCCCCCATCTTTGTCTGATCAAGGCAAGCTGCGTTCAGGAACCAAGTCAGATATTCTTGGGTGCTTACCGGGAATGCCAGAACCTGGCCACTCTCCATCAACCAAAGACACTTCTGTGATAGTGCTAGATATGGCAGCAGTAATACACATCATAAAATCCCCGCGTGCCACAGTGTTTGGGGAGTACATTAAGATGGACTTGATGCCATACTTGCACAGCCTGATTGCTGACAGGACGACTAGAGTGGATGCAGTCTGGGATAAGTACATAGAGACAAGTTTGAAATCCCAGACTCATCTTAAGCGTGGTGGGACAGCAAGTTACAGAACACGAGTCTCCGCAAAGATACCTCTGCCAAAAGGAGCACAATGGCAGAAGTTCCTCAAGGACAGTGAGAATAAAGATACCCTGTTTCAGTACATCAGTGATGAGCTTCACAAGATCACAGCTGGCTCAAAGTACCACCTCCTGACAACAAAGGGAAACTTGGTCCTCAGCAACAAACCTACTGACCTTGAAGCATTGTCACCATGTCAGCAGGAGGAAGCAGATACATGAATGATGCTCCATTTACGTCATGCTGCCAAACATGGTCACACCAAGGCTTACCTCAGGACGGTAGATAGTGATGTCGTTGTACTGGCCATCAATTTCTTTAAGGAGTTAGGACTCTCAGAACTATGGATTGGCTTTGGATCAGGCAAGACTTACAAAGACATTCCAATCCACCACATCACAGAAATGCTGGGACCCCAAAAAAGCCAAGCACTGCCCCTGTTCTACGCATTCACAGGATGCGATTCTGTGTCCACGATGTATGGAATTGGTAAAAAAACAGCATGGAATGCATGGGCAGCTTACCCACAACTCACTGACACCCTCATTGCACTCATGCAAGACCCAACCAGCCTCACACTGAATTCACTGCATATGCAAGTTCTTGAACACTGGACTGTGCTCATGTACAGTAAGAACTGTGGAGTTGGGTCAGTCAATGAAGCCCGAAAGCTTCTTTTCAGTCATGGCCTTAAGTCCCTAGATTTGATCCCTCCAACGCAGCATGCCCTATTCCAGCATGGGAAGCGAGCCCTGCACACCGCGGCTTTTGTGTGGAAGCAATCCCTTTCCAAAATGCCAAACATTCCACACCCGAGTGACTGGGGTTGGGAATGGAATGGCCGAATGAAGATGTGGGTGCCCTATTGGACAGACCTGGATGATGTCAGCAAGGGATGTGCCATCCTCCTGAACTGTGGCTGTGTGGTTGCCTGTAAGGGCAACTGTAAATGCCACCGAGCCGGTCTTCGTTGTACTGCACTATGTAAATGTGAGGGAGGCTGTACCAACAATGACGAGTGAGGGTGTAGAGGATGATGTGTATAAATTAAGACATGTAAATATGTATATATGTAAATATATAGCGGTGTGTGTGTGTGTACACACACACAACTTGGACTGCAAGTCAAAGTAAGTCAAAAGAAATCAGTATAGAGCAATGTAAGAGCAAACAGAGCCGATCTATGACATTTTCTGTCTTCGTTGGGGGCCATTTTGGAATTTATGGATACCGGCCACTAGGGGGCGCCGCCAAGTTGTATCAAATGATTTTTTTAATCCTTGGGCCCATACATAACACCCTGCCAAAAATCAAAAACTTGTCACAAAGTGAACGATTTTCTCGAATTCCCTCCAGACTATAGGGCCGGATCTATCAAAGGTTTGCGTGTATAAAAACATGAGCTATTTCACTGCGCACACTAAAAAATGTACAAACTGATCTATCAACAGCATGCTAAAAGGATTTGGTCTTTAAAACGTGCTAAATAGCGCCTCTTATCCATTTAGTACTTTTTCTGCAATGAATATGCAATATGGGGCGTTTACACGCAAAAGTGCGTCTTGTGGGAGGAGAACATGTAAATATATTAATTTAGCACTTGCAAAGTGATTTATCAAACCTGAAAGCAATTTTGCTAACGGTATCTGACTCTATATTTAACACGTTTCAAAAGAAGGTGCAAATGGTCTGTATGCGTAATTGCGCACACATGGCAGCGGTTATTGTCGCAAGAACGAGACATCGAAATGAAGCAAGGAGACACAGAGAACACATTTTTTTTCACTCCGCGTGAATATTTTTGCAATGAACGAGGAAACGATCATCAAAACATATCGTTTATCCGGCATTGCCATTTTGGAGCTGTTGGGGGAACTCCGAATGGATTTGGAGCCAGCCACAAGAGGACCCACGCAATACCAGATATCACAAAACTCCTTGCAACATTGCACTTTTTTGCATCTGGGTCATTCCAGCGTACGGTTGCAGCGAGAGCTGGGATCTTCCAATCTCGTTTTTCAGAAGTGCTGTCCGACGTTCTAAATGCCATGTCGCCCTGACGCCCTACCGGAGAACCCCGACCTCCCCCCTGCGCCTGTGGAGCAACATGCCAATGCTGCGGGGATGCGTACACGCAGTAATCTCATCCACAGTCACTTCTTGTGAGCCATTTGGTATGTGCATTTTTCTACAGGCCAATACAAAACACCTGTTTTTTGTTTTTTTACTGCAGTGAAGTAGAAATTGAGCCACATACCACCTTAGGGAATAAAGGTTGCCAAAGTTTTTTTTTTATATATATATAGGATATATGTGTATATATATATATATATATATATATATTTTTTATTTTTTTTTTGGAGGGGGTGGGGGTGTCACTGTAAAATTAAAATTTCTTAATGCCCTAGCTTGTACAAACTACTTTGCCGCAAACAACAAAATGCGCAAAACCATCATTTAAATAGGGCGTCTCCAACAGTTTTGCACCTGCCACCAGTTACGCAATCACTCTTGTTAAATCACCCGCAAACCATGGTTCAGCCCCTCGCGCAAAATTCCAGTTTGCGAGCGCAAATTACTGCACGCAAAATTAGATCTTGATAAATCCGGCCCCTAGAGTATTTGTAAAAATTGTCACAAAGGGTGAAACCTGCACAAAAGTCAAAAATCCTTATGGTAGTGTGTTAATAGCTACAGATATCCAAACCTTATGCTGCCTTCATATTACTGTAGCTCAAGGATGTTGTTTTAAGACTCCTGCAATGGGTTGGCACAGCAGATGCAAACGATGGTGACACCATATGACATCAAGAGTTTGATACAAACCCTAAAGCATGTCGCCACTGGACTGTGAGCTTTGGAGATCTGCTGGAGTCAATATTATAGCTCTATCCTCTGTTTAGCAATTGCATTGACAGGTTTGCAGGTATTGCCAGGAAAATGGCACTTATCTGACTGCAACTTGAGAGATATACCAGTTGGTGCAGAGAATGTTACTGTGTTGTATAAGAGCTTTAGTGTAGGATGAACTGGAGCAGAGACTGTGAACTAGACGCTCTTCTCACAACAGTGTCTGACTTTACAAATACACTTTTGAAAGAACAGTTAGAAAGTCTCATAAAATATCTTATGGTTGTTGAAAGTTTCCCAATAAGAGTTGAAGCTGTGGCAGATGGTAAAGATGGAGTAATAACTGAATATCTAAACCTCATAGACTTACAAGGAGATGACGCAATAAAGTTTGCATGTGTGCCTGTGGCAATTTATTATTGAATACCAGGGAGGCTAAACCTCCATTGTAAATTTCATAAAATTAGTTGTATAATATGCATTTTCAAACTTCCGAAATGTAGTAATGAAACTGCATTAAATATGTGTTAAAATGTGCCTGATTTCATTAGTATGCTGCAAATTATTCAGCTGTTTATTACTCGAACTACCCTCTACTCTGGAGCCGCAGGACTCTTTTCAGTCAGTTAGTCTCTATGAGAAAACCCTGTTGAAGTCTGAGTCTCCCTCTATTGAGGTACACAACAGGAAAATGGAGCCCTGATTGGATAAAACACCAAAATACGTCACTTTGATAAAGGCTAAACCTCTTAGGGGGTTTATGGAGCAGAGGCGGATCATAAAGCCGGCTGCTCAATGCTGATTGGCAATAATTCTGAAGGATTTTTGACTTACAGTGGTCAGACAACAGTGGATTTTCTCATGAGTCGAGAGGAAAAAGTGATAATTTAGATTGATCAGATAGATCATGCTGAAATGTTGACATGATTTCTGGAGTTTATTATTTCAGAGAGCTTCCAAACATCTATTTCCATCCATTGTGGTGATGAGTTTTATGTGTTTCAACATTTGTTGATGCAATATGTGATGTTTGGATTAAATTAACACTAACAAGAATTCCCTGTTTCGGAGAGCAAAAGTAGCATCTGATATGTGCAGATAAAAGTAAATTCAAAATGGCTTTTTGAAGATAATCAGTCATCTAAAAACAACAATAACTGCATTTAGAGCAACCATGAAAACACTGAAATAGATAAATAATTCTGCAGTAAAGAAGAAAATGGTATGCAGCATTTTTTTTTTGACAAATTTCAGTGAAAACTAAGACATTATTTTTTCAAAGCTTTTGTATCATCACCAAAGGTAGTAATGGTCTTATGTGTGAGTGTTTTCTTCAGTTATAATGAAGAATTTCATCAAACAACTGTTTCTATTTCTCTGCGTTTTCTAATACAACAGGAATATTTTAGGCTGTGTAACCATTTTACAGCCTTATAACTTTTTAATTGTCTGCCCTTCTTCCAGGCTCTCTGGCTGCTACCAGTCCCTGGAGGGGGGGAACACCGGGGACGCTGTAGTGGACTTCAGTGGAGCTGTGTCCGAATCCATCAGCCTGGAGACAGAGCAGTTCTACAATGATCAGAACAAACAAGATGCATTTTTTGAAGATCTTCTCAAGGTTTGGGATCGTGGAGGAATCATCAGCTCCTCCATCAGGGTGAGTCATCAGCTGCTCCTTCCAGTTTGCTCCGTTTTACACCCCCCACCTAACAAATCCGTTATTATCAAATATTTTCTTTGAAATGTTATAGGCAGAGTCGCATGAAATTGAGATGAAGATGCAAAACGGGCTGGTGAAAGGCCACGCGTACTCTGTAACCGCAGTGAAGCGAGTGCGTTTGGGTCATGGGCTGATTGCCTATTTCAAGAATGAAACCATTCCTCTCATCCGCTTGAGGAACCCCTGGGGCAAAACTGAGTGGAAAGGAGCATGGAGTGACAGGTCAGTTGGGAAAAGTGATATAATAGACACTAAAAGCACAACCGACATAACTGCCTCTTACTATATCATTTAGAAAAAATGTAAGACAAGACTAGAAAGGTTTATCCTAATTGTTTTGTTAAACATGACTTGGGCTTAATGATTGTCTGAAAACATTTTTACAGTTTCAAATTCAAATATACATGATTGATAAATTATTATCTTAAAGATTAATTGAAACCATAATTCTATTAACATTTAGTCCTATGATCAATATCTAAACTAAATCCACTTAAATAAAGTGATAAAAATTATAAAAAGCAAAGCAAAGTATTTAAAAGAAAATGTACATCTATACGAATATTGATCGCAATGACAAAACCAAAGTTAAAAGTAATTTTGTTAGGATATTACAATTATCATCATAATGTTTTAGACCATACAAATCTGACAAATCCAAATATCTGATCCTCATTTAATCTCAGAATGAATAAAGATCTTCTTTAAAGGCTTTAAGGTAGACTCCAACTCAAATCCTTGAGGACTGGTGTCCTGCTACTTAGATCAGCTGCCATGAGCATTTAAATCAGGGGTTAAATAACCTCAGCAGCAGCAGCAGCCAGAGCTCTGCTAATCAGCTCATATCGGATTCAGGTGTGCTGAAACAGAGCTCGAAGAACTTTATTAGATTCCTCTAAAATGCAGAAGTCCGAATACCATCTTTACAATGCACCATGGTGGTGGCACCATCATTCTCTGAGGTTTATAATGTGCTAGTGGACAGATCAAACTACTGGGATGACAACCCTGAACATACAACTGGAGCTTCAATAGAATGTTTATGATCAAGGTATATTCATCAGAATGGCCTAGTCAAAGTCCAAGCCTAAATCTACTTCAGAATTGATATTCACATACCCTCTCCATCCAATCTATCTGGTCTGTTATAATATTATAATGAGTCAACATTTTAATTTTCACTTCTGAAAACCTGTTTGAGACAAACTCAAAAAGATTTATTTCCAGAAAAAAAGTTTGTTTAACTCAGAGGGTGTCTGCCCTAAATATGCAACAGACTTTTAAAGATTATCTTGTAATTAAAGAAGTTAAAGACTAAATGTAACATATTTAAATAAAACAAATGTTACATGAAGGTCCTATTTTTGGATTCTTGTGACAAAGGTTCAACAAAACTACTCAGCCTTTAATATGTGAACAACAGAACAAAAAATCCTGCATTACCAGTAGTTTTTCCCGCTGGAATGAGTTACAAAGTAACTGTAATGGTAACAGTAACTAAGGTTTGTTAGGCCTTTTATTAATGTTGATATTGTGAAGACTGTGCATCATTTTCCTGGTGCTGTCTGTTAAAGAGTGTTTGTTTAAAGATGTGAGCTTTCTGTGTATCTTTTGAAATCCTCCTGGTAAATAATGCTGTAATGGCCCTGCTTGTTGTTAGCTCTCCAGAATGGGACAAAGTCGGTGACACAGAAAGAAGCAACCTCGGCATCACAGTGGAGGACGATGGAGAGTTTTGGTGAGGCTCTGATCACACTGCATTCATTCGGTTTGACTCCTAATTGTTTAAATTTAATGCAGTGTCTGTCTGGATCCACAGGATGTCATTCGTAGACTGGTGCAAGTTCTTCACCGATACAGATGTTTGCCGTCTTATCAACACCTCAGTGATTAGCATCCATAAGACCTGGAATGAGGTGGTGCACTTTGGAAGCTGGACCCAAAACAGAGATCCCATGCTGAACCGCTGTGGCGGCTGTGCTAACAACAAACAGACGTTTCTGCAGAACCCACAGGTTTTGAAAACCTCATAACCCCCCCCCCACACACACACACACATACACATCTCCTCTTTAACGCATACTGACATGTTTTTCCCCCTCTTTTCTTTTATAGTATTTGTTCGATATTACCAAGGAATCAGATGAGGTCCTAGTCTCCTTGCAGCAGAAGGACATGAAGATCCACAGAAGACATGGTCAAGGAGAAAATCTAACCATTGGCTTCAGCATCTTAAAGGTAACTTTCACTTTAGTGCTGTAAAAAAAAAAGGCCTTCAAATTTTAGTGAGTTAAATACGGTTCCATGCAGCCTACAGCTGTTTTATTCATGTGTTTAGGGACTGATTGTTTACTTGTTTACTTGGAATCTAGTGTGCTGCTTTACAGATCACGCCATCAGCAGGGTGGTCATCAGGCATCATTTGCTATGCTTTTGCTAACATTTTGACCCTCATTTTAGCAAAAATCTGACAAAAAACTAGGTATGATGATCTATCTTGGTTGAACTCTTGCAATAAATTGATGAAAAGGGCATGAATTAGACAGAAAGTGAGAAACAGTGATAAAGTAAAAGAGATTCACTTTTTTTATTGAAAATTTTCTATAGATTTTGAATTTTTTTTGTGATATGTAAAAACTCATAATGACTTCCAAAGTGTAAATCCTTAGTTCTATTTTTCACCCATGGAGGCCGTCATTTTGCACACCTGTGCACTGCATGATGGGTTGATGACGTGGTTAGATCTAACTGAACTGGACCCTACAGAGTAAAAACAATACTAATTTTACTGGATTTGTTACTTGTTTTTTATTACATTATGTTTGACTCGTGTAACATCAGATATTAATACACTGCACCACTGCCTCAAAGTTTTCAAACATATCTGTTAAAACAAACAAATGTAATCAGTTTGTGATCTACTCTTTACTAACCTATAATAGAGCCAATACTGTTAATAGAATCTAACATGAAATCAAGATCAAATAAGTAGAAAATGAATGACTATTTAAAGTGGCAGTGAAGAAACTGTCAGTCGTCGTAACACATCGTTCCAGTATATCTGATTAAATGTTTTGAATCTAGCTCTCGATTAGGGTTATCATCCCCTAGCAGCAGCCGCACAAACACCAGCTTCTTCATCTAACTCTCCCCTCTTCTTCCATTTGATCCTCCTTATTTTCATTACCTCCTCTGATTTCTACATTATCATACATTTTAATGAGCTCCAGTTTAAACTGAAAAAGTTTCATGGTAACTCCTCTGTTTTGGCTGCATGGAGCTAGAGCTTAAGGTCCAAGTCATTTACTCAGAATGCATTGCAGCATAAACAATATGGCAATATTTTATTTAAACTAAACAGGTTAAAGTATATATATTGTATCAACATCCAAAATAAATATTTCTCAGATAAAGTCAGTTTTTATCGTGGATCCCTTTAAAAAAACTCTGATATGTGTGATTTCAGGATTTGTTGTACAAACCTTCACATGTATACTAAATCTTGTGGATATGGTGTTTTGTCTAAACATCCTCTAAGGGTAAAAGAATTTAGTTTGTCTTCAGGCATTTTCCCCTTCAATAAACAACTGATGGTCAAGTCTCTAATGTGATCTGATTAAACACATGCCTTTTCAGCCAGAGGTTGAACACATTCTTTAATAATTGTTTCAGGCTGAGTGGCCCCAGTGGAGCCATGCACTTTAATCATGATTTTCTTCCCTCAGCAGAGGCTCCAGACAGCTCTGATACTTTAGTTTCAGTTTGGTGTGTTGTGCAAAGATTATTTATATCTCATGTGAAAGTTTACTCTGGTAAATACCAGAAGAGCAAATAATTAGCTTTCATCTTACATATAACACAGAATTATATTTAACCCACAAAATCTGAGAAGCTATGACAGAAATATTGAGCAAAGATAATTATCTGCTGAGATTATGTATATTTCTCTGTAAAGATAAACTTCCTAAAGACTTTTTCTGGCCACATTTTTATGCATCAGCTTAAAATCAGGCGGTGTGTCAATATCCATCTGAATTTATGGCACATTTCCCCACAGGGTGTTTAATGTCAGAGATCTGGCTAATTTCAGACACACCACAGATATGGTTATCTCTCTGCCAGAAAGAGGTGCTGCTGAATGTGTCATGAAGAGGCTGTGATGCACAAAAGAATAGCTGTGTACATATGTTCTGTTAAACGCCGGCAGGCAGTGATGGATACTTTCATTTGATATAATATTGTCAGTGATTTGTAATATCTCATCAAACAAAAGGAGATTCAGCTTTACTTCTGTCGATTATGTTCAAGGACCCTTTTCTAGTTGACATTTTAAAACACATCTGACCCCCTGCTTGTAGTATAGTGCCGTCTGGTTTAGTTGTAATGTATCACTCTGCCACAAGGAGGCATAGTCATACAAGCATAATGTATAATAAATCTCTAAACAAAGCAATTACCACCTATTAACTGAAAGAAATAAGGGAATCAAAATGCAGGTTTAGTTAAAGTACTAAATTCTTCTTTCACATTTTTATTTTAAAGTTAAGTGCTCTTAATTTGTGTTAGTCAATGAACAAAGGTTAGTGAAGAGAGAAATAAAATGTCTAATTAACTGGATATTAGCATTTATCCATCGAAATATCTTCTAAAACTACTTGTTAGTCACAGTCACTATTACATTTAAATATTTCATTGTGCATTTTACCATTTAAAGGCTAATTTAGTATTTAAATCATGTATTAGATATGTTGATATTATATATGCTTATGGTACATTTATTTATTTCATGGGTTATTCACATTAATACGTTTCATGATCTATTTTGGTCCTCCATATACCTCAGGCACCACATCACAATAATATTGAAAATCATCTCAAGACCCCCTGGGGGAAAAATACATGATTTAATTAATTAAGGCACACCACCCATGTCTAAAAGATTATCACCCTGCCACCACCATGTCTGACTGTGGGTATAATGTTCGTTTTCTAAGATGTTTTGTTAGCTTCCAAACAAAAGGCTTTTGTTTCTTCGTTCCAGAGAATATTAACCCTTAAAATGTAGGGATGATCCTGGTGAATATTGGGCCTTTGTGTTCTGTTAACCAGAAATCTGAACACAGACCCTAAAAGGAGGCATGCTGGGTCTGCAGTGCTTTGGATACTATTCCTAGTTTTTGTATTACCTCCTGGATGAAGCCTTGATACATTCTCGAGGAAATATTGGTATGGTGATTAGTCATCAGAAAGGTTTGGACTGTCCCATCTTTTCTCCTTCTATAAACAAGGGATCGATGGATTCCCAAAGCCTTAGAAATGGCTTTTTGTTTCTCATCTAGACTGGAAGTGATCTCTCCTTTTGTATTTATCCAACTTTATATTGTGACAAAGAACCTGCCAGGCAATTGTATTTTTGCAACATGGCCAGGTTTGCTTAGACAGTGTCATTCCCTCAATAAAATAAAGAAACCACTTTCTGTATCTACTCAAGTCATTTTAGCATGATTTTGAACAGGATCAGAAGGCCAGAAACCTTGAGGAAAGAGTAAGACAAAAACCTGAAAGATAAGAATTGTTTCTAAACATTTCCACCGTGTTTAACCAAAATTCACAGTATAGATCTCCCAGTTGCATTGACAAGCGTACAATCGAATATGACTTCACAGGTGGAGCTGAACAGGAAGTATCGGCTGCACGACATCCTGACACAACAGGTTCTGCATACCTCCACCTACATCAATGCTCGGACAGTGTTTATGAGATGCGTGCTGCCTCAGGGCCGATATGTCATCATCCCCACCACCTTTAGGCCTGCCGTACCTGGCGACTACATGCTGCGACTCTTCACAGACCTAGACTCTGGCTGCCGGTATGTTGTGTGACATTTCCTCTTTCTGTTTGATCATTTACTTTAGACACCTGAGGGAATTAAACTATTTTAAAAAGCTCATTTAGGAGTCAAACTGATTGATTATAGTTAAAATAATAATTCAGATATTTGGCAAAGGGAATGGAAATAGTCCCATTAAATCTTCTGCATTGAGCTTTTCCTGGCCTTAGATCATGTTTTGACTTGTGTTATTTGTATTTCCCTGTTCTTTATTTTGGCAACTCCAACTCAAGTATCATGGGTTCTATTTGGTCTGAAACATGTATCAGTCAGACTAGCTGGCACACAGAGCCGGTGTTGTGTCTATGAAACATAACTTTCCCATCTTTCAGTGTTCTTGTTCTAAATGTTAAGAAACATGAACCCTGTTTTCTACTCTCACAGGCAGCTAGTGAAGGACCAGCCAAAGGTTAACTGCTGGAGTCCGATCGTTGGATATCCTGCTGTTGTTTCCCACATCTATGTGAAAGGAGCTGAGATCCAGAGTGAAGACCAGGCAGATAGTAGGAGGATTTTTTTTTTTCTAAAACGTGTAAACTTGGTCTGCATATTTATAATTTACTGAGATAAATCTAAATGCATATCACACTTTACTGTTCAGGTTTAGACCCATATGTGATCATTTCCTGCGAGGGTCAAAATGTGAAGTCTACCGTCATCAAGGACACTTTGAAACCGGAATTTGATGTCAGTGGTATTTTCTACAGGAAGAAGGTCAGAAAGCCCATCACAGTGGAGGTAGGTTTGAGGATTTACTCTCCAGGCTTTAAGATGGTTTTCAATCATTTATCCTAAAGTTTTCAAAGCATTTTGCTTCATCACTGTTGTGGATGTTGTCATTTTGCACAGCTTTGTTTTTTTTTTTAGAATAGTTCATTATTGCTCTGCTAGGGCAGAGTGAAATAAATACAAAAAATATGTTCTTATTCTGAATAGATTCTCACTTAAAGATCAAATCATATAATCAAAGATTATTATTATACTTTTTTTTTTATTATATTATTTGCTGTTAAATGTTGACATAATAAAAGTAAGAATATGTTACATGACTATAGAGTCATGCAATTCAGGCGAAGAAAGGTTTTTAACAGTAGCAATCTCCAATTTTAGACCAGAACAGAACGGATCAGAAATAAACTTTTCTAATCCTTTAGAATTAGAATCAAATTGATTCTTGAAATTTGATTTGTAGATACCTAGCCTAGCTATATTCTTAAGGACATTACATAAAACATGCAAATTAACATAAGTATGCAAAGTAGAATTTTTTAAAATTCAAACCAATTTTAAAAGCTGTCAAGATTTTGGCATTTTCGCCTCTTTGTGACTTTTTTTTAAACTCGGAAAATGGAAAACATGGATTACTAATTAGATCCATTAGATATAAAAACAGAAAATGCAATTCAGTTTATTTATATACCGGTAGTGCCAGTTTTACAACACATGTCATCTCAAGGCACTTTGCAGTTCACCAGATCATATAGTCATCGACTCATTGACTCGAAGGGTATCCCTCACACTAAGCATGCTTGTAGCGAGAGTGGAGAGGAAAAACTCCCTTTTAACAGGAAGAAACCTCCAGCAGAACCAGGCTCAGTGTGAGCAGCCATTTGTAGAGGCTGACTGGAGTTCAAGGAGACAGAAGCAGACATAGAAAAAGAAGCAGCGATACCAAAGGCAACTGTAAAGGTTGTCCCCGACCAGAAAAACAAACAGCCAGGCAGACGAGTTCCGAGCCAGCTCCAATATCAGAGGATGAAGAGAGCACATCCAGCCAGTCACAGTCAGAGAAACAGGACTACACTGAAAACCGGGCCGATCTCTAACATCTATAAACAGAGACCATAAGATTAGATATTAAACTAACAAATTCTACAGAGAAGGAGAATATAGAATGAAGCAGAATGATGAAAAAGGGTTCCCTATGTCCTCCAGCAGTCTAAGCATATAGCACTATAACTATAGAGATGCTCAAGATAACCTGAGCCACTCTAACTACAAGCTTCATCAAAAAGGAAAGTTTTAGGCCTACCCTTAAGAGTAGACAGGGTGTCTGGACTAAAACTGGTAGTTGGTTCCACAGGAGAGGAGCCTGATAACTAAAAAGATCAGAAGAATATTAGCTTTCCAGTTTTTGCCCCATTTTAGTTTAGTCCTATTTTCTTTATGAGTTACATGTTTGAACAGCTCTATATAGAGTCATCACTATATAAAACAGTTCCCTACATCAAACCAAAGAAAACAATTTAAATTATGGAGTTTACAGTCTATAATCTTATTTAGCACATCTTGGTAGAAGTTACTTTGGCTAGCATAGCGCTGCTAACTCTTTGAAAATGAATAAGGGACAATTCATGGCCAGGCATTATCTTCCACTCTACTGCCATTAAAAATATGTTTTTGATAACTTTTTTTCTGTGCCTAATCTTAACTAAAATTTACAAAAAGCTGGTAAAATACTACAGTTTCTAATATAGACAAGGCGGTAAACATGATCAATAGGGCGTAAACAGATCCAACATGCTGTACTTTGCCTTCCTGTTATTTGCGGTAGCTTTTGCTCTCTCCATCTTGCGGCCTGAGTACACCGATAGGCATGTCTCATCATTTCACAGGCGTACATCTTCATGCGACTTCATATCTGTAATAACTTACAAAGTTAGGTGAAGTTAGTAAACCTAGCTACATCAAGCTAGCCAGTAAGATAAATATGGCTCAGTAGCCTTACCTCAGTAATAGCTATCAAAATTTAGGTTAATCTCTGTATTAGGAGCCTTATACTTCAGTAATAAACTAATTCAGCTAACATATTCATACATGCGCTACGTGCTTAGAGGTTCTGTGGTAAAGGAAGGAGGGGGAATTGAACATGGGAAGCCTCTATTATAAAATAGAATTTCATGTTTTCCTGATTAATAATATGTCATCCAGATAAATCAGTCTGTCTATATAATAGATAATTTAGAGCGGAAGACTTCAACAGGGGGTCCACAACCCCTAGGGGGTCCGCAGAGGTACTGCATGGGGGTCGATAAAGTTTTGGTTGATTTTTGTATTTTTTTTTTATATTCCCCCCTGCAATTTTTTCCCACTAATTGAAATGTCTTTAAATACACATTAACATGAATTCAACACACTGTGATCAACAGATAAATAGAGGCAGAAGATTAGCCAGGGACACGGAGGAGCTCTTTCAAGCGGGGCACCGTTTCATTCACAACACCTGTCCCATCGACCAGGAATCAGAATCAGAAATACGTACTTTAATAATCCCAGGGGGAAATTACTTTTTTAACATGACTTCTTCTGTAATACAGTGACTATAGGACCAGTTTGATATAACACTATTTTATAATATATATATATCATTAGGGGGTCCCCACTCCATCTCGCCATCAGTTTGGGGGTCCTTGGCCTGGAAAATGTTGAAGACCGCTTATTTAAAGGGTTTTCTGTTCTGAAAAAACAAATTCTTAAAACATTGTAAAACCAAGAGGAAACTCCATCTGGTTCTGACTGGTCTTTTCTTCTCTTTAAGGTGTGGAGCAGCAAACTTGGGATGGACAAATTCTTGGGCCAAGTGGTTTTGTCCGGGTTGCCCAATGACAATTCTAACCCTCAGCGGCTACAGCTGAAGAAGAGCGGCGATGAGAAAGCAGACGATATGCCCGGCAACATCTCTTTGAGGATCGTCACAACGAACCAGCTGGCTGCCATATAACAAGCCAGGGCCTTCATCAGCCTTTCTAACTTAACTTAGTGTGAAAAAGGAGCTCCAGCACCGTCCATTGTTAGAGTTTAAAATCTTTATTTTAAGAAGGTCAAGAGGAGAAATAGGATGCTTCTGGGTTTTTCTTTGATTTCTTTTTTAAACATGTTTTCTTCGACTTATATTGTTATATACATGTGTTTTTGGTATTAGTATTTTTTAATGAAAATATACTGTGAGTAGCATTGAAAGTACCACTATGGATACTGTTGGTGACATTAAATCTTAAATAATCCCCGCCCCAATCGGGTGTCATTTTGCCAAAATGAATATCATATAAAAAAAAAAAAAAATGCAGATAAGGCGAATTACAAATAAACTTCTTCTCCAAGCTGTTTTTTTCTCCTCTTTTTATTTTCAGTCCAGTTCCCAAACTGCAATTTTTTGTATTTTTACACTCAAGACACAGCCATGCACAATTCAAAGATCAAAAAATCTATTGCTTCAACCACGGTTAAAAATAGCTTATCCAAAACCTCATTTTTCTCCCCCGATTCTCAGTTATCCTCTTTTTTTCTTTTTTCCAAAGATGGGGGGGAAGGTCAGCCGAGGTACGCCGGATAGATTAGCAGTTTTACAAAGCTAAACAGTAATAAGAGTAATAATAATAATAAAGATGATAATTTAAAAAGTAACATTTTTTGTCTTTGTTCCATTCTCTTGATACACATTAATAGAGAAATTTTTCACACCACGTGTACAGGTTTACACATTCAGAAGATAGGAATGTACAGGAGAAACCACAGAAAATAGTGGGGTGGGAGTGGGGGGTGAGAGGGCACGTCAGTGGTGTCTCCTGTTCCAAAGTTCACCTTTGTGCTCATAGTTCGGACCCGTAGTTTGGAAGGCCAAAATGTCCCAGAGCTCGGGAAGCTTCCCTACAGGCCGGATATCCTCCAGCGAGGAGGACGGCTGTGGTCGAGCTGACCAGACTGTGAGGGTCTGCACACAGAGAGCCCCCCTGAAAAACAGAGAGCTGGATCCGAGAGTGCAGTGACGCCGTGAGGGTTGAAACTCCTTTTTTTTTTTTTTTTTTCCAGGGTGCAGAGCATTTATCAGTACCATATGAGTAACCTGAATATCTGTTAAAGTTACACAGTTCTGTAAAAAGGACGGGGGCAGGTGGGTGGGGGGACCTGTCCTATTTACATACATACATATCCTAACACTCCAACCACCTTGTTTTAAGAGATAACAGTTTGTTTCACATGCATGGAATCTGCTGCGTCGCAACTCCTTCATCCTTTGTACAGTGGAGGTACAATGTTACTGAGCAGCTACCCTCCACCTCAAAGCTAAGGTGGAAAACAGGAGTCAGGCATCTTTTAGTGCAGACTGAGATAGGACCCCCCCCCCCCCAGCATCATCCCACAAACAGACCCACTCACAGACAGGGAAGCTACGATTCCGGTATGAAATGTACTCACTCATGAACAATGATGAGTTGGACCGTTATTTAACAAGCTCCTGATATAATTCAGGCTGGATACTTGGGAGTATTTGCTGGTTTCCTGACACAGATCCAGATTTCGCCACAGTATTTAGATAGGATGGATATCATGGACCCAGAACATTCATTTTAGTCTGCTTTATCTATTTGGAAACAGGTTTTTTATGTGTATGTGGGATCTTTGAGCTGTTCTTACACCCAGCATGCGTCATCTCCAACCATGTGAGTCATAAAACAAAAGGACAACCATGTAACCAACAAGTCTTGAGTAAATCATGATGATTTTAAATCAGAGATGTTTTTAAAAAAATGTTTGCTGCTGGGGTGTTTCAGAGCATTGCAAAAAATTGGATGGAATCATAAAGGGAGTAAATTAAAGTGGGTTTTAGAACAATTGAATTTGATTGGACAGTAGTTGACTTTTTAAAGGGTCTGTGCCAGGAGAGCAAATACTTTAAACGATCCATCAATTCTGCAAAGAAAAGCGGTGAAATATCCAGACAGAACTATAACAAAAAGCTTATTGGCTACAGCAAGTCTGTAGATCTCTGTAACTTACGGTACTACAGGGCAGTCTTACAATTATATCTGAGCAGATGTGCATGAATTGGATTAAAAATATATCACAACTGATTTAAACTTTTGCAAACAATATCTATTGTTTGTGTTTGAATGATCCCACCACCCTGAAATAAGAACAGTTTAAATACTTGTAACCTAAAATTTAAACATCCTCAACGAGAATGAAGGTATGTGAGCTTCTCACGGCACTGAACAAAGGTGAAACGCCTGATGCAGCCAGTAAATATGATCCGATAACCTTTGCCATGCAACGAGGTTAAACTCTAAACCAGGAATGAAAGGAATGTTAAAGTAAAACTGCAGGATTGGATACAATCATGAGAAGGGTTCTTCTTAAGCAGCGTCACTCTGTGAAATCCGCCACAGGTTTAAAAACTCACAGCAAAATCCAATGGCTTCATGAGAAATAAGTAAAAATATAAAAAGCATTGGACATAACTAACAGATGAGCAGAGAAGAAATGGGGAGCTTTCAATCATTTCATAGCCCTTGCGACTGATTCATGATTTCAAGCTTGTTTATGCAAACTATTTAATCAAAAAATACTAAAACCTACCGATTTTATTTTTCTTTAAACAAATTTTTCATGTTACAAGCAGAAACCTTGAAGTGTTTTATTGGGATTTCAGATGGCTAACAAAGAGTATGATTAGGAAGTGGACAAAAAAATAAATAAATAAAATTGCTCTCAGCTGTTTTGTCCTTGAACATTGACTGAGATGGATCTTCACCTGCAACGCCTTCTGAATAGGGATTCACGATACATCGGTATAAAAATGATATCGGCCCATATTGGTTATTTTTAAGCAAATTGGTCCGATCAGTGAAATTGGGCCCATTATACCTGATATTTCTTTCCATGCAGTGGCTCTTTTTATTTAAGGATGGGATCAGTCATGTGACATTTATTTGGTCATCTTACAGTAATTGTGATGCAGCCGAGGATTGTGGGAGTTCAACTGAACTAAAGAATCAACGGCAGCGCTGTGGTCGGTCTTTCATGGTGTCCAAAGGATAGGGAAACATCTATGATATCTGTTATCAGCCATAATGGGAATATTACTACTTGATAATGATATTGGCCCAGATTTTCATATTGCTGCATCCCCACGTTTGGTGGCGCTTCATAATTGCAGCCTTCCTTCTCTCATTGTGCCCCAGGGCAACTGTGGCTACCATATAGTTCACCGCCATCAGCGTGTAACTGACTGAAAGTAAAAGAGAAGCGCTTTGGAGTCATCTGATTCAAAAAGGCGCTTAATAAATAAAGGCAATTTACTATTTATTACATCTAAAAATCTCTCAAATGTGGCATGCATTTGTAATCATCCCTTCACTCTGATACCACTAAATAAAATCTAGTGCAAGGAATTGTTTCAGAAATCAACTATTAAGGAATTAGACTCCAACTACTAAGATAGAGAAATCCACCAAAACTGACTATATGAGCAAAAAAAGCATCACTCAGGTGAAGACAAAAGGGCTATGGTAACTCTGGGGGAGCTGCAGAGATCCACTGCTCAGGTAGGAAAACGTGTTGGTAATGCAGTCTAAAAACGAGGCTTTTATGAAAGGGTGACAGGAAGAAAAAAAAGCAATTCAAAGTTCTTTTTAAAGCTTACAAAAGGCCATGTAAGGTGGAAGAAGGAGCATCGGAAAACTATAACTATCCTTCTTCATCAACATGATGTGCCATGTGAGGCAGAGTGGTGGCAGCATAATGCTGTGGGATGGTTACAGCTAAAGTGGCAGATCGATGGAACTAAAAAAAAAACTGTCTGTGTGCAAATAAAGCCAAAATTATACATGATTTTTTTATACTTGGTAGTAATGTCCAAATAGAACAGAAAATGTTTGTATAGATAACATAAAAAAATGTGGGAAAGTAAGCCTGCCTTGTGTCAACATGTCTGCATGGACACTTTTAATGAATGCAACAAAAAACCACCAGAGCTGAACATTTCTGATTGGTCCTTGAAACAATCGTGTGTGTCTGTCAGGATAAATGATGCCGACTTTATCTAATAAAGCAGCAATTTGTCACGAATTGCATTTATGTCGTTTGATTCTGAATGGAAAATGAGGTTTGGATTAAATCTTTTACAAGAACTGCAGAAATGGATTCAAAGCTCACATTAAAAAAAGAAGAAATAACTGATTTTTTTTCCCTGCCTCCATCCCCTCACTCGTTCACACACATTTACACATAAAACAGACCAGAATTACGGCCTATCCAGAGGAGGCGATCTGCAGAGGGTTAGCGGTGTTTCTTCACAGAACCACGGTCATGCAGGCTCGTCCGGTCTGGTGCTCCTCCTTTTCATGGGCTGTTCAGCATTGAAATGCGCTCTCAATCCTGATCCAGGATGGGAGGAAATCACAAATTCTCGGTTCCACTGCTGTGTTCCTTTGTTTTTCTTTAGGAGAATAAGCACCCTTCCCTTTTTAATTTTATCCAAACTATTATTATAATTGTTTTTGTTGTTTTGCTGTTCTGGGAGAGACTCATCCCAAAACGAGACGTTATGTGAACAGAAGTGCACGTTTTGTTTACACACACACACACACACACACACCCACACACACAAACGCACGCTCACATGTCTGACATACTTGTGATAGACTGCTCTACATGTACAGTGCCGGAGAAGTAAACAAGGAGGCTAGGTCTGTTTTCAGCGGCTTGGCCTGCAAAGCCAGATATCCGTCCTGAAGGCCTGGTGGACGGGCAGCGGGGGTGGTTGGGGGGAGGGTCTTCTGCCCTTGCTCTGTCCCTATCAGTCACATAAATCCACCCCGTTCACCCCTGCTGTCATGAAGCAACGCATCACCGGCAGCGCTCCGGCCTGGGGCTCGGACAGGGAGCCCCACCCTCAGCGACTGCTGTTCTTTATGGCTTCCTTAGCAGCTACAATCAGAGGCGTCAGACTGGAGAGGGGCTTCGCCAGCTTCAGGAAGGAATGCTGCAGAAACACAGATAAATAAGCATTTGTCATTAAAACTGCATGAATCTGGTTTTTGTTCCACCTTAAACCTAACTGTGTGCCAGAAGCATAAGTCTTACACTTTAAAGCTGGGGTAACCAATTAAAAATCAGCAGGGTCCGAATACGGAAAATCAACAACCAGCAAAGGTTCGGAGACATTTTTAAATATAATCCGTTACTTTAAACAGCATTTAACACTGAAATAAAATGCAGGTGTTTATGCATCCATGTTATACATTTAATTTTTAAAGAATATAAAAAAAAGAATGTTTTTCTTACTTTTTTATGGCTTAATAAGAGAAGTGGGCTTTACGCTGCCCTGCAAGGATTTAAACCTGGGTTTGAATGGAGACAAAGCCATTCTCAAGCACATATCAAGGAGCTCATTTTGAGCCTGGATCCATATTTATTTTTGATTATGTTCATGGTGGAGAATCCTGCTTCACAGCAGCAGGTTGAGCCAAACATCCTCAGAATGTGCAGGGTCAACTTTGAGCACGCCTTTTCACTTTTGTTACACCAGTTTACCGCGCTTCTTTCAGCAGTCCACACTTTCTCAGCTCTCTTTTTCTCATCTTCTTCTCCTTCTTTCCCACCACCCGGCTTGCCACGGTTTGCCTGCTGTGTCTAAAAGTAGGCCAGATGGCTTTACCATACAAACAGGAGAAGCGTCGGACAAAATGCAGTAATTTATAAATGTTTTAAATCAGGTAGTGTACGGATTAGCAAGCAGGTGGGTCCAGATCCAGATCTGAGGATATGTTTCTGCACATGCGCACTTTCAGGCATATATCTGTGGTGAGCTATGGTTTCAGCCAGTCATTGAAGCTCACCTTTCTCAACGCAGTTCTTTGAAAGTGGCAGAGGATCATAAGAGAAAATGTGTCTACGAAGTGTATGAGAAATAGAGAAAGCCTTAGAAGAGAAAAACAGAACCAGAGTGTTTCTGGGAGATTCTTTCACTTGTTGGCGTACACTGAAAGGACAGGTCTGGCTTCCCACTGATTCCTCGGTTTCAATGTTTCTACTCGAAAGGCAAAGTTTGGCATGCTATTTGAAGAAATCTAGTTCATCATATTAAAACGAGGAGAAATGGGCTTGCTCATGCTCTCACACACGTTTTAGGCATTCCCTCTTGGGAGCAGGTACAGGGTTGTGCATGAGCAATTTTTTTTAAAGTATAGAGGGCGAGTCTTTTCAAAAATGTGCAAAAATCCTAAACTATACCTTTAAGATTGAAGCATTTGTGTACGATAGTGCTGAGAGTAAACACACCGCTGTTAAAAAAAATGTCCATAAATTTGTGACTAATTTACTTCATAGTTCTTCTGAAAAACAATGATTTATTAAAGAAAAAACTATAAAAATTAACATCTAGAAAACAGGTGCAGCAACTAAAATCATATTAAAGCATCTTTTGGTTCAATTTCAGCTTTGGGAGATATGAACTATCTTTCCAGAAAAATTAGTAAATTTTAGAAACCGAAAATAAATATCAACTGTTCTAGTTAGATTTACGTAACCTTTCCACATTTACAAACGAAAATATCACGCATCATCATCCTCATACCACAGCACAAGGAATCCAGCGGGAATATCGTTGGAGTAGCAGTCATCTCCAACAGGTGAGCCTAGCTGTCATGTTATCACGCTGTAATGTTTGATTTTTTTCAAACATAATTCTTTCAAAAATAAATCTTCAGGAAACTTCTGGAACTGTTTGGGGGGTTTTTTCTGTTGAAACCAAGCATGTTTTGGCATAAAATATGTTTCACACAGAAACAACACTGCACATCAATGGATGAAAACTAAGTCATGCTGTGGGGTTATTTTCCTTTGAAGAGGTTTTTTTGGCCTTAAACAATCAAGTATCTACTAGGAAGCTGGATAAGGGTCCTTTGTTTAAAGCATTATATTAAGTACACATCTAAAAAAACACAGAAAAAAAACAAATAAAAGCGAACTAGTGTCCACAAATAATTTGGAATGATCCGAAGAAGACTGTGGATAGAAATATCTTCATAATCCTTAGATCTTATTTTTGGAGTGCAGATTACTGATGCAAGGTGCGATACCCTGACAGCTATCAAATACCGATTGCTAAAACTGATTTAAAAGGTGCTCTAGTAAAGTTTTCCTTTCAGATAGTTTGTTATACTTTAGAAATACTTTTTAAGAGCCTTGTATAATGCTGGTGTGCTTGTAGAGGATCTTGTGGGATGTTTACCTGCAGCAGCTCCTTAGCAGAGCCTCTGCGGTCCACATCCATCTCCAGACAGCGGTTGAGGAAGTCTCGGAACACAGAGGAGAGCCTTTCAGGGTTCTGCAGTTCTGGAGTACCATTGGTTGCTATCAGGTAAAGTGCCTGCAGCCAAAGAATTGAAATAAAACATTTTTATCAGCAATTTCCTGTTTTATTTATATATATTTTATGCAATGCCTTACAAAACATTTTAAACACCTTTGGAATTTAATGGATATAAAATGTTTAATAGGTCTAATATCATAGATTTTCTTTTTTTAGGAGTACATTTTTTCTGCTGATTCATCTTCACATCTTTTTCTAATATTATTTGATAATGATTAAATAATCATAAAATTTTAAATGACATTTCAAAGCCATAGGGATGTTCTTATTGTCCGATGAAGCTTTATGTTTGTAGATTTCTGATTGGGCTAAATCTTTAAAATGGAAATAACATCTCAGATGCCAAATATACACAAAAGTGGGATTGTATTACACAGCTGTGGAAGGGAAATTATACACAGTTTCCCTTTTTTAAAGAAATCTAAAGAGTGCGGTTTTTTTATATTGAGCAACCCTAAATCAGTATGTTTAAAGAGTTTTTATTCCAGGACTGAACTGTTATTATCTTTGTGAAACTTTCCACAGCATAATGTTAAGGTCACCATGTTTGACCTCTACAGAGTGCTTTACATCAAGGCTAAAATGTTCAACACCTTAACATAAGGATCTAAACAATCCACCTGTAATGTGGCTGAGATGAAAAAGTTGTATTGGGACACCTCTACTGAAAACAGTTAACATTTAATTCATTGATATAAGCGAAATGTGAAATCTGACAGTCTGACAGAGGGACATACCCTTTGTTTAAATGTTAGCTTAATGTCTCTGTTCATAAGGGATTAAAAGTTTTATTTTAATCGTCTTGGTTACTGTTCCACCGATCTAATAACATCCCATTTTCTTAGATTTTATAAATATGTGCAAGTAATCAGCTATGATATAATAATGATTTTCTCAGGATATTGTAAAAAAAAAAACATCAGTCCTTTATGTTATGGAAATATTTCTTTGATACAAGTTACAACTCAACTTTTGAAGAAAATGGGTGCTGATCAGTTGATAAGATGAATAAACTCTAGAAAAACTTGTTAATTTATAACATATACTTATGGCAATTTTTAATAGTTAGGAAAAATTCTGATAACATGTATCATTTTAGAACAGGAGTGCAGCTCTCTGATCTAGGACAGAAAAATAAACCGTTTCCTGGACTTTCCTTTTATACCCAATAATTGTTATTCCATTTTCCAAAGTGCGGCGCTACAATTGAATTTACCCTGAGTGGATTCTCGTTCAGATAAGGTGGTTCTCCCTCCACCATCTCTATTGCCATGATTCCTAAAGACCAGATATCCACTTTTGGTCCGTAAGCCTTCCGAGTCACCACTTCTGGTGCCATCCAGTACGGCGTTCCCACCATTGTGCTGCGTTTGTTCTGTTCTGGTGTGATCTGGGCGCAGAAACCAAAATCGGCTGCAGAGGAAAGTCATTTAGTTAAAGTACATTATTCAACATATGTTTATATTCAACTAAATTTCAATAAAGTAAACTTGTCTTCTCTCATAAATGGCTCTTTTTACAGGTACACTTAAACCCCGAACCTCTAAATATGACTTACTCAGTTTTACGGATCCATCCATCCCTAAGAGGATGTTGTCACTTTTTATATCTCTATGGATAACCTGGTTAGAGTGTAGAAAGTCCAAAGCTTGAAGACACTGTGAGGACAAAAGTAGAGGAACATACAATCAACATTCAAGTTTTTTTTAACAAATTTGACCACCCTCCTTCCCCCGGCTATCAGCATTGCAGGAGTCCAAACATGGTTTCTTACCTCTCTGCAGACTGCAGCAATCTGGCCCTCATCCATGCAGGTCTCAGTCACAACATCTGTCAGCGAGCCTCCGGCCAAATACTCCATCACCACCCAAAGCTCATCCCCTACCAGGTAGCTAAAAAATGAGGACAGCAGAGAAGGGATGGACCTTAGCTTTTAACACTTGGAAGTATATCCAACAGAAAGCTTCAAAAACATTAGTTTGAAAAACTCCCGCCTGCATATTCCTTGTATTAAAACACTGCAGCTGCACCAGGATGCTACTGAGCGAAGATGTGACCACAGGTGAAGAACTTGAACCCATGAAAATGATGTTTCAACTATTGCAAGGCCTATTTTAGTTTAAACCACTAGGTGGCAGTATTTCATGTCAATCCAAGTTCAACTCTGATAAATAAGGAACAAACAGCTGCAGTTAAATACAGATCAGGTGAAATAATCAAAAAATTCCTCCTTCGACTTGTAGTCGTACTTTAATTATTTAAGAATTGCTTTTAGGTTGTGTTATTTTTTTATATGTTATCTTAAACAGCTGTTTTATTATCATAAACATCTTAATGTAACAATCTTTAATGAATGTTATTTCTAAAAAAAGAAATAAATTGATCATGATTCGTCTGTTGGACCAGACAAGCAGCTTAGATGCATAATCTCTAGCTCCTGGAGGACATCAGAACCCTAACATCTATCAAATTAGGAACCAGTGTTAACTGTTACTTTCACAACAACTAAACATTTGTTTTATATGTTTAAAACGACAAACCTGTCCAGGTAGTTGACTATGTTGGAGTTCTTGTTTTCCCTCATTACCAGGATCTCATTGATGATCAGCTCCTTCTTGGGTTGTTGCTGCAGGTTCATCTGTTTGATGGCCACCTGAAACCAGAGGTATTTAATGCTTAACATAGCTACAGCTTAGCAGGGAAAACGCAAAGAAGCACATTTTATTTTACCTCTTGCCCAGTCGCTATGTCAATAGCAGTATAGACGGTGCCAGAAGCTCTGAAAGAAGAAAACAGCAAAGTGGAAAATCAGAAGTATTAAATTACACCTGAGAGTAAATCTATCTTATTTAGAAGCTGTACAGCTAGTGCTAACTTGCAGATATGGATTGCATACCTGAAGGCTGGATTTTGTTTATTAAATCTTTGTAAAATTTCTCTAGATCAGTCAAACTGGATGAAGAGTTTTTCCAAATCCTTCCAGAGATTTTCGACTAGACTATGGTCTAGACTCCTACCCTATTCTGACACATGATGTTTTTATCTTTTTATTTAGCTGAAAGGTAAACTTCTGCTCCCAGTCATTTAGCGTCCATTTATTAGGTTACTAAAGAGCAGATGGTTTAGAACAGGTAGTGGCTGGCATTGCACATTCAGGCATTTTGTAAGACAGAAAAATAGAAGGAAACTCACAGAGTAAGAAATAGATCAATCTGAAAGATAGATAAAAATAAACTAGAGGTAAAAAATAATGTTAAACTGCATCACTTTGGTACCGACAATAAGTTGGGGACATTATATAACAACTTTACAAAACAATGCCTGCAGCAATAAAGAAATTCTTCAGTCTATATGCTGTACAGCTCAGGAAAGTAGAGCACAGCTCTTTCCTTCAGAAGATAAAACTGGATGTGTAGAGGATGGGTAGAATCTGCAAAGACTTTTTGGGGTTTGGAAATTGATCTGGACTCAAATATGTCTGAAATGACATTCAATGGTTTTTCTGCTTTCTTTGGACACACTCAGCATAGTGTTATATTTTCTTTTCAAATCAGCAAACTTGAGCATTTAAGAGAAGAGAAAGGGAAGACAGATATGTCAAAAAACACAATTCAGAGTTCAAGATCCCTGGTTTCTACACTCTTTATGACTCTCTGTCAGTTTACTGTCCATCGTTGTGCTGAGGTAGGAGTCTTCTGCTAGTACCAGCAGGTTTTCTTCCAGGATGATTTTGTGTCATTTACTCTAACCTTTCCTGATTTAAAGGACCTAACAGTTTCTGTAAATAAGATTTTTCTCAAGAGCATAGAAGCTTCATCTACAACTTCCTTATTTAGTCCATCGACTGAAGAGATTAGAGTTGAACTAAGAAGTCTAAATGCCTGTATGTGTTCAGCAGCTAAATGAACAATGGACTGAGGTGATTCGATAGATTCTCCTGCCGTTATTTCAGAATCTAGCACCTGCATTTTGGATGAGCTGCAGCTGCAGCATGATTTGCATGCTATGAATAGCATCTGATCTAGTCATAAAATTAAAAATTGTTTGCTTGGTTTGGACAGGAACACCTTGATTTTGACTATGTTTGACGAAGGGACTGGGATGATTTATTGCCAGACTTTATTTGGTGTTTAAAGTTCAGGGCTGAGTACATAAAGATACCTTAATAATTTGCTCGGAGGTACTGAGGAATCTAGTTTAAGTTTGATTTTTAGTTACAGGGGTTGAATACAGATGCATCATGGAAACTCTATATTTATCACTAACGGAAAAATAAATGTACTCTTTCCTTTCCCCTCACAAAAATCAGACTACTTTGTTCAAAAAATTCCTATGTAAAACGACATAACTTGAAATTTCAAGCGGTATGAATCGACTTCAGTCAGTCTGTATTGGACTCCCAGGAGAATAAACATCTTCCACTGTGAATTCCTGCTGCTGAGTCTTCCTCTTTCTCCTCGGCTACTGTCACAAGCTATGAATAATAAAGTGGAGTTCCTGGCAGCAATAAATTCAAGATAACCCAGCAGAGAGTAAACAGACGGCTATCTGCTCGATCGGATATGGAAACGCTGATCATGGTGCAAAGATTACAACAACTGCATGTTCTTTCTGCTCTGGTGGGTCCTGTACAGGGGAATCGGCAAAACATTTTTTTTAAAGCAATAGGGCTGGTTGGGCTGGTTGAGCTGAACTGGGTTTTAGTTTTCATTTACTGTCTACTAACGTTTCTCTCAGTAATCCAACCCTGAACCTTTCTTTGTTCTCCTTAAAAACCCTCTTCCCTCGAAGAGACTGACGCATCCAAGAATTACTCATTTTTTGCCAGGAAGAGACTCACCCTTGTCCTATTTTCTCGAAGCGCGTGTACTTCTTTTTGGGATCTCCCACGCTGACAATACTCCCTGAGTCAGAGAGAACATAAACATAATCAGTGTCCAGGCTGCATATTCATTGCTGTTTCAGTGCAGAAAAATTTGATCCCCCAAATCTTTCATTGATTGTTCAGAATAAAGACAGACACAACAGTGACCTACAGGTGAACAACTTTTGATGGGAAATATTTCCTTGCAAAAATGCAAACATGTTTGAAAAGATTGTTTCTTTTGCATAAACACATTAGTGCACAGAAAGACAGCAGTTAAATGGAAATCTTCCAGTCGCACACAATCAATCTCCGCTACACAGATCAGTAAGAATGGATCAGATTCGTAAATTTAAGTCAAATTCCGTAAATAAACATCAGATTTGAATTTCATTGGATGCATGAAAATGCAAGTTTAGAAGTTACTTATACAAATAAAATTTAGTATTTTGCAAAACTACAATTGCAAATCAATAATGTGTAAGCGTGAATCTGAAGCTGTTAGACTCCTTAACAGTTGGTCGCGATAATGCACCTAAAAATTGATCGTTAACCGCCTTTGGATGACAAGAAGAGTTAGAAGACTAAAAAGCATGCAAGTAAGATGTGTGATTAAAGGAGAAGTTCGGTTTTTTACACTTTAAGCCCATTTTCTGTAGTGTCCAGGATGAAATCGAATGATCGACACCAAAAGTTTGACAATTGCTCCTGTCTCTGCTTTTTGGCTCATTTAGAATCACCCCCTGGCTGCTTTAGAATGGCTAGCATAGAGCATGTCCGATAATGTCCTTAAAACAACCTTAAACGTTCTTTTTTTAAAATATGCTACTCACCGTGTCGTCAGCGCTGTTCACTGACGTTCCAAAAAAAGTTTCGTAAAGAAAAAAACGTTCCTGTAGTGTTTTATTTAGCATTTTGTAAATCCCATTGAGTTCTGTAGGAATAGTAAATATTCCCCTGCCACCGGAAACGGAAATGGAGCCTGTTTACACAGTTGTAGTCTTTTCGCTTCACTCTGTGTACTCCGACGTCGAGAATCAAGAATCCACCTTTCGTATTCCATTTTCAGAGTTTTTTAAAGTGTTTAACAGAGACGTTAGCACCTCGACGTCGGAGTACACAGAGTGAAGCGAAAAGACTACAACTGTGTAAACAGGCCCCATTTCCGTTTCCGGTGGCAGGGGAATATTTACTATTCCAACAGAACTCAATGGGATTTACAAAATGCTAAATAAAACACTACAGGAACGTTTTTTCTTTACGAAACTTTTTTTGGAACATCATTGAACAGCGCTGACGACGCGGTGAGTAGCATATTTTAAAAAAAGAACGTTTAAGGTTGTTTTAAGGACATTATCGGACATGCTCTATGGAAGCCATTCTAAAGCAGCCAGGGGTTGATTCTAAATGAGCCAAAAAGCAGAGACAGGAGCAATTGTCAAACTTTTGGTGCCGATCATTCGATTTCATCCTGGACACTACAGAAAATGGGCTTAAAGTGTAAAAAACCGAACTTCTCCTTTAATGTTTTGTTCTTCATGGTTTATGCCTGTTGGTGAACAACCTTTGGGTGTAATACTGCTAGCTAATGGTAAGGAGCACTGATCTCTATTTATTCACTGGATGGCTGAGTGCCCGAAAAAAGTAAAGCCACCGTCTGCCATGTTGGTACTCCCAACTCCCACGGTGACACGCAGTAAAAATACGTGTGTAGCATTTGGCTGTTCAAACAAGCAGTTTGCTGGCTGTAGCAAGACGTTTCACAGGTAATCCACCGTCAGTGTGACAGTGTATGTATAGTTTTTCTTCAAATTATGAGCAAATGGCAAAATATGAATTTGGTGTTGCCTGTTATTTTACCAATGGATGTGATTTTGCTAGTGTAGAAACTGAAGCTATGTGGAGTTATTAAATCGGTTAATTCATTTAGCTCTATTGTAAATCTATGTCAGATTTAAAGGTTAATCCAAAGACACAGCATAAAAGTATATTGCATCATGCATGAACAATCTGCAAATAGAAAAAATACTATAGCATTAACAGACATTTACTTGTAATTCAGTCTTGATGTAAAATCTTGAAACCATATGTAATTACCACAACAATGTAATCAATACATGTATATGACACGTACATAATCAATTTAGCCCTTTTGGCACATTTGTATTATTAAGCTCCATTGACACATTCATTTTATTGTAATGGATTTGTATAATATGTTATATTACGGGATTTATAGCCTTCATTGACTTCATAATGACTATGCAAAGTGATGTGCCTATTTATTTTATTATAATAAATAGGCAAAGTGATGAATTTATCTTTATTTTAAAATGAGAACATCATCGTTGTTCGATGCTGTAGCGCACGGATTGTTTTGCATTGCTACCAGTCTAACTATAGGGAGTAACAATATGGAGGCCAGTAACCTTACTTCAACCCTGTATTACCAACAGGCAATCAGCAATCCAGTGAATAAATAGAGATCAGTGGTAAGGAGTGTAACAGCTTCAATAGAGGCTCTATTTTGTACATTTGTAGTCTATATTTGTAGTTTTGCAAACTTTGGAACTTGAAATATTAACTTTTAAACTTGCATTTTTAGAAATAAACATCTGATGTCAGATTTTTATATGAGCTGACAACAACAAACAATTACAAATCTTAGCTTTATTCACATTTTTGGACTTTGGTTGAAAAATTAAAAAAACAATGAACATTCTTTTTAATTGACATTAATCTTAGCCTAAACAAGCTGCAAAAAAACACAAACTGACACAGATCCTCTTCAGGACAGATTACGGTATTGATTGATGTGCACAGTTGGTAATAAGTTAAGATTTTCCTCATTATAGGAAAGGATCTTATGTAAAAACAAGCTTTTAATGATGCAATTCATGCATAATTCTTCTTCTTCTTCTTAAATTCTATTTTCTAGCAACTTTGTGTAAAGATCTAAACTATTGACATATTTATTTAAATAAACAGGAGAAAATTAAACATACAGATTCAAATATTGCTACCTCAGTTGCATTTGGATAAATGTCTCCAGCAAGTTGCAGAGAAACCAGCATAACTGTGGTGCAATGTTTGACCACTCTTCCTGGCAGAGTGCTGGGGCTCAATTAAGTTGAATGGTTTCCTCTTATGGATCTGGCTTTTAAAAACAGGCCACAATTTTTTTTATAGATGACTTCGGAGCCTTCTAGAAGATTAATGTTAGCTTGTTTATCAATTCCAAAACCAGTTTTCATGTTTGTTTAGGATCTTTGTCCTGTTGGAACTTAAATGTGTTCCAGTTTTAATGATACAGAGATATTCATCAGATATCCATCCAAACCCCACCAAAACTGGTATAAACTGGAACAAGCAGAAAATCAGTTAAGCAAGTTGACAAATACATTGACAAGAGGATACAATAATTCTGAACCCTGTTTTAAATCTAAACCATCAAGTGTCGCTGAAATTGGTGTGAGCAGCCAAAATACCTTTTGGGGGAAAAAATGATGGTCAGAGAGGAGACACAATTTCATATATTTATATGTGAATCACATAACAAGGGATAACTTATAAAGAGGATTTAAATGATACCATTAATAAACAGATTATTAAACCATTAGAAATGTATAAGATGTGCTTCAAATAGTAAAACACTAATTTAAAAAATCTGCTCTATCAATAAGCAAGAGGCTTATGCCAGAAGCTTGTTGATGGTTAATAAAAATATGAGATTTCTTTGGGAGATTTATCCCAATATTAAAGGAAGGGTATGTACACATTTAAACCTGTTTTATTTTGACCCTACATAGATCAGTGAAAGCTATAGATCAAAGCCAATAAATTGATTGGAGAATATACAGTATATTATAGAATCGTTGAAGACTTCCATGCTTAGTGTATGGAAACTCCTAAAGCTGCCTCATTTAGGCTGAAGTTCTAATTTCAGAGGCATATACAGTATGCTCCTTTTTGGTAATAAAGAAACAGGAAAACAACTTTCAATGTCAGAGTTCATTACCCATCTGAAGGAAGGCTAAGTTTTGTCTTCTACTTGATGCTTTTTCTATAAAATAATATACAAAACCTAAAATGCTTTATTCCTGAATGCTCAATCAGAAGTTCTTTATAGTTGGGACAAATTAAAATATGACATTTTATTGTTAGATGCTGACAACCCAGACTTTTAGTTGATCAAAAAATGGGATATTTCAACAGGTAATTTCAGAGGTGATTTCGCTATTTGTGCAGGAGATTTCTGCATTTTTTTACTTTGGTCCCACAAACCAGAGACATGTACTAAAAAAACACAGCAGAAAATGCAGCGTCTCTCCGTCATTGCCGCTTAAAGGCATCCTGGTTGTTGCAAATCTGTTTTTATGAGATCTGGTCACCCTATAACTTTTCCATTCATCACTGATCAAATTACTATCCCATGTGGCAAAAGTTCTGTTCAGAAACGTAATGTTGAGGAGCTCACTTTTGCAGCTTTTCATAGATATGCTCGTAAGCCACTCCACTTACCGTGATTGTTAGAAGATTCTCATCGGACATCTAATACTCATTTGTCTAAAAAGCTTCATTTTTAAAATCACTTTAAGGAGGATATAAAATAAATTAACTTCTTTCTAACAGACTGGCTTTCAAATATAGTGTATGGAATAATAATCCATTATGATAAGGAGTTAGAAGATGAAGATCTTTAGAGACGTACTGAGTCTTTCCAGAATCTCCTCATCGGTCATTTTGGACTTCTTCCTCTGCCGGTCAGTGTGGCGGTACATCGTGTTGGAGGTATTCTCAGGCTGAACCTGTGACTCCGGTGGAGTTGTCTCCTCTTTAACCGGGCTTGGTGGCTTTGGTGGGTCCATGACAGAGCGGGTGTAGATCTGCATCAGAAGACTCCAAATTTAGAAAGCAATAACAACCATCTCACCAACCGCTGCCCAGTGAACGTACAGATTTGGTGTGCTCAGGTCGAGGGGCGATGACGGGGGGCAGCTCATCCTCATCGTCCTCATCTTCATCTTCTTCCTCCTCTTCCTCCTCCTCCTCGTCCTCCTCCTCTGATACGGGTGGAGCGATCGGGGGTTCTGTCGAAGATGTTTTGGCACCCTGGATAAGGAGAGAGAAGTGAATCGAGCTTTTACTCAAACTAGTGTGTAACTTCTAACATCCAGCCATGTTCCCAGTTCTAGATCTGTTTTTTTCTTGAGTGAAATTAAATGAAAGGGTATTTTTGGGAACCATGACACAGATTTGAATAAATTTAACTAAAAAACTATCATTAGAGATGCACTGACTAAAAATTGTTGTGGTGGCCAGAATCAACCAAATTTCAAATTAAGTGCGCTGGTGAAGATTTTCTGTCATCTAGGTCATAGTCATGCTAAAAAAGTTAAAAGAAACAATTCACTGGACTTTGTTTCCAAGTATGAAGACATTTCACTTTCCATCAAGGAAGCTTTTTCAATTCAAAATGTCAGAAATATTGTTGAGTTCGAGGCTTTATAGAGTGGACCAAAAACATAGCCTTGTTTTGGCTAAGAAAACATGCAAATTTATCAGGACGAACAGGTCTGCCTCTTAGGAAAGAGTTGTGTGAGTTCTAGACAGGTATCAGATATTGCTGGCTAACAAAGAACTCAAACGACCCCTATTCCTAAGGGCAGACCCGTTCGTCCGGTTCAATTTGCATGTTTTCTAAGCCAAAACAATGCTTTGTTTTTGGTCCAGCAGTCCAGTAGATTGTTGTTTTTAACATTTTTGGAATTCAAATTAAGTTTTTCAGTATTTCAAGACACCAACAGTGGCTGATACTAGTGTGTATCTATTATTGGTCAGGCGTTCAATAAGGAGTCAGAAGAAATAAAAATTTGTAGGACGTTATTGAAAGAGGGAATGTGTTTTAAATGTCATGTCTGCAACTCTGCAATAACAAAAAGGCTGAATAAAGTTTACAAAGATGCAAAACTTTCATTATCTATCTGTCATAGAATAAGGATGATTTCAAAATTAAGGTAACCTTGCCCAGAATGAATGTAAAAATATAAGTATAGGTCAGCTGTTACTTTATTTTACATTAATTTGAGCAGAAAATTAAGACAATGTGCCAATAGAATAATATTTATGTTAAAAATAACAGAAAAATAAACCCATTATTTCAAGTGTTACTATTTAATTATAATAAGATAGAAAATACATTAGCAGATCATCTTAATTATCTGCTCAAATTAATGGAAAACAGAGTCACTGTGGATGTAAACCCTGCATTCACTGCATTCTCTGCACAAATCATGACTACAGGATACAAAAGCCAGGTTCAAATTTGAATTTTGACCCCTTCTCTCAAACAAAGCCACAATTTTGTTTCAGCTCTTTGAAAGGACAGAGTAGATAGAGAAAATGTTTACATCTTGTTTCATACTTTTTTAAATTTTAAATCAATGCATATCTGTCATTCACTAAAAACAAGCAATAAAAAAAACAGAAAGTGGTCTTCATTGGGGTAAAATCAGACATGTTATGTGCATGGCACAGAAAAGCATTTGCAATTCAGGTGAGAGCTGAAGGAAAACGTAAAAGTTGCATTCAGTTAATTTTCTCTGAGGAGGTTTGAGATGTGGGGTCTGGGGAGGTGTGCCATGAACCATTGATGTGGATGAATTTTTAAGCAGCAAGATGTTAAACTTTTAACTGTGAGTTACTGCAACCCTGCGGTGGGCAGTATCTTGATGAACCGCAGACAACCTGAGGATACAGAGGACCCCTTTTAATTAGTCGGATTAATAAGCCTTATGCGTAGAAAATATTCCAAATGCCTGTTTTTTTCCTTTCCCCCTCCCATCCAAGAACTTCCTTTGCCTTGGATCGTCTTCCTCTTATGGTATGGAAACACTTCATCCTCTCCCGTCATGCATTAATGAAAGCAGTGCAGCTTAGTTCTGGTGATTAAAAGCAAAGTCCCAGTCCTTCGTTCAGAAAGAGTGAAGCCTCTGACTCGCTTTGAGGAAGACCGGGCCAAGACTGCAGTGCAGAGAGGAGTGCTTCTTGCATGTGTGTATTTTCATTAGGAGCCATGCAGCAATGTCTAAAATGGGGATGAGGTTACAGGCAGAATATCGGCAATGTGTATTAAACTGTTAAAATATGAGCTAATACATGCAGAATGACAGTTAATACAGTCCTCTGTGGAATGTGCAACTGTCCTGCCATTTCAGAGATGGTTATTTAAAGGAAAAACATTTAAACAATACCCAGTATGTGATGCTTTAGAAGAAAATAAATCTATTTATACACCAAAAGCTAATAGACCCCCATTAGATACCAATAAAAGTACCTCGGATATTAAATGTTTGCACCGAAATAAAGCCTGATGTCTCAGTCAATATTTGGCCATATAGTTGTTGAATTTAGCTTTACAGCCAATATAGGAGGTACAGCATGTGGAAAGTAATGTTGAGGAGTTACCTTGTCAAATAATGCGCTGCAGGTTCTAAGGCTGACAGGAGGCCCAGAAGACAGCAGTCGGTTCTGAATGTGAAGGTTGAAAATGGGAGGATTTACTTAAAACAAACCCATACAGTGAGTGAGAGTAGGTGTATATTGTAGAGGAGAGGGTAGGGTGGGGAGCAGAGAGGGGTAGCAGCTGAGGAGTTGGGCTTCACGTTTCTACATTATCCCCAAACAAACAACATGAGGGGACGCCGTTGGTAGGGATAAAATACTGCCACCTGCTCAGAGCATCATTTTCCTCTCTTCTTCAAGATAAGTCACAGGATGCATGTATCAAAATCAAACCTTATAACTTATGTATAAAAGCACCAATAATTGTCCCTTTAAGTTAGGCAGTCAATAGGCAGTGAAAATAGATAACTGTCAGTTATTGTTTCTGGACTTCCATAACCACTTTCCCTGCTGTCTGCGTTTTACTGCTGCTTGAAGAACCTGTATTTTGTCAGATTCCGGAAATAATTTGTCCTGACTGGATCTGATTTTACTGTTGAGTTAACTTTCGATAAGAAGTTTTGTTATTGTAAAACCTTTAGAAATGAAAACCACAATTAGGTCACACTTTACTTAATAATGTAAAGGTGTCAAGAAGGTTTTGGTTTTGTTTCTGTGTTTATTGGATGGCGTCTTTAATCTTTAGGTAAAACTGAATCTAAACAGGTAACACTGCAGTTTTCTGCCTAGCTTGTTATACTTTTTCTGTTGGAAAAAAAATAGAATAAAGCTAAGAGTCATATTAAGAAATAAAAATAAAAAATTTTATGGTTGGTAATCATATAACACAGACATCCCAGTACTGTCCCGCTAAAGTATTCATTTATGCTAATTTTACTTTGCGACATTTTGTAAAATTCACACCTTAAACTTCTGTTGATTTCATATTATAGACCAAAACAAAGGGCAGTGGCTGATTTTCAGAAAATAAATATTCAGTCGGAAGTCTTTTAACAGATTCCTCTGCAAAGTTACCATCTGATTTGCAAAATTCCTCTTTGAATCAAATCCAATGACCTTCCTGCCCCCACTGAAGGGAGGCATCCCCACATTATGATGCTGCCACCCACATGTTTCGCAGTGGGGATGGCATGTTGAGGGATAAGCGGTTGGACACAGCATCTTTTGTTAGGAAAAAAATCCTAATTATGACTAATAATGGATTATGACTATCCTAATTTAACAAAAGTGAGTTTTTTAACATTGTTTATGTCATTTGTAAAAGAAAAATGTATAAAAAATAGGTGAAATGTTCACAGTATTGTATAATTTTTCCTCCACTTTGCAGTAACTCCCCACTTTGTGTTGGTATATAACATCAAATCCCCTCGAAATACATTAAAGGTTATAATATTTGAGTTTTTTTTAAGTAAAAATATCCAGAGGTGGGAATACTTTTATAAAGCATTGTATTTAAAAGTTCTAAATTTCACTGATGAAGGCTGAAGGTTCAAATATTTTGCTAACTGACGCAAACTACATGGAATTAACAGCATTTCCTCATTGATTGTGAAGTGGAAGTGCCTGTTGCCGCCCCTGGACAGGAGAGCAAACTGGGAAGGGGGCAGGTAAAGAAAAACATTATCTACCTGATCTTCAAAGACTCCAAATAATAGGCACTAAATTACACGTGCTATTTTTTTAATAATGGGTGTGCAGCTGGTGAGCTACAAAGATGTGCAACTGATTTGGTTTCCCCCATTAAAATGAGCAGATTGCATGTTATACAGGCATTTTTAGGTTGGTAGTAAAAGAAAGATGAGGTTCAAAGCCATTGACATAATGATAATTATCATTCAAAAATAATGATAACAATAAATAATATTTTAGATCACCTAGTAGCCTATCTAAACGTGCTATAAACTGAAATAAAATGAATTAGTGTAGAATATGCTTCGCATATTGATAAAGGCACGTGCAGAAAAAGGTTTGCACTACTGAATTACAAACGCAGATGACTTTGCACATTCTTTAAAGATTTGCTCTGCAACTTCAAACTGATTTGCACCCAGCTTAGGACAGAAACCTTCTGAAAATCTGGCCCTAAGTGATTTACAAAAAGATTTTGAAAATAATAATTTAATGAAGAGAAGCTACAGTTATTTATATTTTTAGTATGACGAAAAAAGATATCAAAACTGAGGTCATCTAATTTTAATCCTGGGTGAAGTTAATATATGAAAGCTGCAGACTGCCCAAATCTAAACTTTAGCAACTAGACTTAGGTCTGACCTAACCTTAGATAGCTCTGCATCACGTACCCCTAATGCTGGATTTAAATATGATTCGTATTTCTTAATAATGCTGCACACGTTGGTAGTATTAGATATTTATATTAGTTGCCAATGCAAAACACATAAGTTTGTGGCATCCACATGCAAAGCAGTTTGGACGATAATCGGTTGGAGATCATCAGCAGTGTGATACTGCAGTACATCTTTGCTTCTTGAAATCAAATTTTGATGATAATTTCTTTATATTGGCTCAAGAATTCAGTGACCTCAAAGGCGATAGCTGAGTCACTACTGTATGCTACTGAAAACTGAAATGCTTTAGAAAGCTTTCAGTGAATAACAGCCTCGTGATGACCACCACACCCTTTTACCCTTCACTGGCCCTGCATGAAGAGATCCCAGCAGAGTTTTCCTGGGGCAGTGTATTCGACTTCTTCCTCACCCATTGAATACAGGCTGAGGCATACAAAGCATAGCTAGCTGAGGTCAACACAGTGGGAGTCTCTCTACACACAGCTGAGCCTCCAGTGATGGTTTTGTCTGTGAACGTTTGAAGTTTGGGAGTGGATCTAAAAAAACAAGCAATAGGCAGCACACCTCTCTCTGCAGTCACTTTGTTTTGTGCTGCAACTGCAAAACTGTTGTGTTTAAAATTAAGGGAATTTTGCAACCAGGAAGCAAGCGAACACATTTTGTCTAATAGAGGAAGAAATGTGTGTGGAAGTGGTGCATCTGTAAGTATGTTTTGCAGACATCAACCCCCTCGCTCCCACTCAAAAAAAATATTACATTAATTGTTGCCAACTTACCTGTTCAACTCTGATTTTAGGGTTATTGTGAAAAATGTTAGCATTTATATAAAGACATTTTATAAAGCAAGTAAATAAATTATCAGGTTTTATATCATATTAAAATTCTACATTCTCGAATTTGAAATCACATTTATAAAACAGTGTAGGTGAAAAAACAACACAAACCAACAAAGCTTTACATATCCAAAAACTCACCAGAGTATTTGCTGCAATGTATCCATGCGCTGTCTTATCTAAAATAAAAAAAAGAGAGATTGTAAAGATTTTTATCATTTTCAAGAATATTTCCTTTTCATGTTAATGTTGATTTTAAGTATTTTATTACCTCCCGAAGTGAAGCTCATGTATTTCTGATTGTTGACCGTCTCTTTGGAGTCGTAGAACTTTAGCACGTCGATCACAGCTTGTGGGTTCTTCTTCTGCTCCAGCTTGGTGATGTTCGAAGTCTGCAGGAGCCGTGCCCACTGCTCTGGGATTCCCTGCAGAGGTCACACGTTGACAGGAAAATGTAACGTGTGTTGTTGCTTAACTGTTTCTTTCCTAAACAGAGCCAGTTATGGAAATAGCTTATTATTACCTTTTCTTAGAGAGAAAGTATTTATTGATCAGAGCTTCTTTGTTCCTTTTGTATGTCTGCTTCTGTCTCCCTGAACCCTCAGTCACCCTCTGCAGAAGGCAGCTTACACTGACACTGATAATGGCTCTGCTGGAATATTTTCCTTGTTAAAAGAACTTTTTCATCTCCACTCTCACCATATGCTTGCTCAATATGAGGGATTGCTTTAGAGCGATTTACACAATGCAATGAAATATTTACTGTTGTCACTTGCTCATCCAAGAGGAGTGGATCCTGCAAAGTCAACAACTAGATGCAATCATCTGGGTTTCAATGATAGAAAACCTTCAACCAATCTGACTGTATGGTCTGTTTAAAATGTCTCTGTAAAGTGCCTTATGGATGATATTTGTTCTGAATTGGTGCTTGCTGATTTTCAGGAAAAAGAGGACGTCTGGTCACCCTACCATATAAACAATTTTGATGTTTCAGTGAGTGAGTGCTTGTTGCTATGATGCATCTTTGCTCAGCAGCTTCCCTCGTTGTAAACCAACCAATCAGAGCACAGCTCATCTAAATATTCATGAGCATACCATAAAAGGAAGAAAACCTGTCGTTTCATTCTAGGGTCTATAACCAGGCTTGCATTAGGGCTCATAGAATAGCAAATATGCTATTTTCAGCCCAACCAATGTTACACACCCTATTCAGAGACCTTAAGGACCAGCACCGAATACCCTATATAATCATTATATGACCCCTTTAAGGGCCAATTAAAAAAATTCTATTAAATTAAAAGAAATATTAAATAACAAATAAATACAATGACATCTAAATAGGTCTGCCCATTTCTAATTGAGCATCATTAATGGGGAGTGGTGGCCTAGTGGTTAGGGCATAGAACTTGGAGTTTGTAAGTACAAAACCAACTCCCATAGACTGCTGTTAGAGGCGTGAAACAAACACATAATGACTAAACTTGATTTTATTTTTCGTATAAAACATTTAATTAAAGTTTAACCATAACTGACTAACTTTCAAGTTTGCTGCAGGCTAACCATGCACGTTTTGCACATAAACATTTGTATTTCTAAGTTTGTCGTCTTCCTAAACAGAATGTAGATAGAACATTTCAATAGAGTGCATACATGCATAAAATAGATAGATCATTAACTTGACAATATTTGTATCAGGAAAATAGAAAATGGTATATTTTCTAAGAAGATAAACTAGATTTGTTGGAATTCCAAATTTTCTTCCTAAATTTCTTGTTTAAACATTTTTGGCATTTTCACCTGTTATCACACAATAGCTTTTTCATGCTTCTCTCTTTTTTAGCTGTAGTTTGAGATCTTCTGAGAAAGTGCAGTATAAATTAAATGTAGTATCATTATTATTCACACAAGGAAGGAGCCTGTTTGAGGTGTTACTTCAAAATACACCTGCAAGTGTGCCTTAATTTAATAAAAATTCTAATTTAATATATAAAAAATAATTAAAAAAGTCTTTGAAGTTAAGCGCATATAAATAATTTGTGTAATCCGGGCTGAGCCAAAGTAGAAACACTTTTAATTTGACAGAGATGGCAGCATGTGGTCACATATCCTTTAATGCAGTGATTAATAACATCTACTTTTAAATTTAAATGTTTAGTTGTCAACCGTGTTTGAAATGAAATGATCAGCACCTTCTCTCTAGGTCACTTTTGATGTTCATGGCCTGTTCAGGATAGAAATGTAAAATAGATGTTTGTGTAAATCTAATCCCCACAAATAGATGGTATTTAAAGGAGAGCAAATGTCATTTATCAGTGTTTATCCATGTCGTCTCACCGCTTTCTCTGAACATTTTTACACTTTAAAGCCTAATCTCTTGGCTGAAAATAGCCTCTGCTGCATTATGGTGTCAGAGGGGGCTCGGGAAATATGATTCTTGGATAGCGATTCAGGGACAAATCAACAGTAATTCACTCTGTTCTCCAAGAGAAGCATGAAATAAGCTTAAGAGAGTGTTAGAACAGCTAAAATGGGAATCTGCTTGCCACCAGCATACTGACTAGCTTTAAATATTCTTCTTCTGTGCCATCTTTGACTCATATATTCTAACAGTATTTTGGGGGGTAAGTCAGCATACATTTGAACTTTAGCATGGAGAAAATGACAATAAACTAGATATGAACAAGGAAATGCTTGTCACTGATGTCACTGGCGGCATAAACCAAACATTTGAAAGTCAAATAGTTGTTACCTCAGAGCAAAGCTGGTTTTTATAGCAGGCTGAAATGAGACTTCCACTTTACATTCCATAATATTTGAAATATGCAAAACTAATAAAAAGATCAATGTTGATTATGCACTACTGTAACATCTTATATACATGTCATTGCATTAGTTCCTGCAAAATGTTGTTTTAAATGAATTTCTTCTGATATTAATTGAATAAATGTAACTAGCTACTACAGCACCTTTGATTATATTAGTTAAATGTTATCAAAAAGCCGCATACGGACAACTTCAGAGTTTAAAATGTTTTAAATTTATTTTATTTTAGTTTTTTTAGCTGTCTAGATCTTTTTTTATATATTCTCTTCACTTATTTCAAAGTAAAGGGTTCTGCTTCTAATAATCTCTTTTTCACCCAGTAAAGATGACGATTGCTTTGCCACAAAATAATTATTTATGTCAATAAAAGTCATATGAGCAAATCCTTTTTCTAGATGAGCCTGGGTTCCTGGATTAGTTTTATAGGCACATAATAAGTTCCTATATTTGACCCGCTTGTCAACTGAAATGAACACTTACTGTAAATTCCCCTGTAACAGCATCAAAGCCAACATGGATTGTGTGTTCGAAGTCTGAAGGTAAGGAGATCTCTGGACGTTCCTTTTCCTTCTTTTTATTTGCTGGGGAAAAAAAATGAAATATCATATAGTCTGTAATGCTGCTATTTATTGATATGGAATAGTGTAATGAAATGGAGAGTGAAGGTGGAGGATGAAGCTCACTTTTGTCTCCTCCGGGGAAGATGGAGCGCAGGCGAGCTTTCTTGTTCTTTTCCTCAGGAGCCATTGGAAGCGGTTTAGATGCGTGATTCAGTGATGAAGAGTCTCGGGAACTACTGTTCATTCTCAAGGGGGGGGCTGGTGGCTTCTCTTCAATATCGACACTATCAGACATCTTTAGTAGCACTCACAAGATCCTGAAAGGAAACACAGGGGGAAGCAGGATCTTAGTCAGGAAAAAACAAGTCAGCTTTGCTTCAACAGAAAACTTATTATCTGCAATAATCTGCATGATATGATTGAAATGACTGTAAAATGCCTAGAATAAATGAAAAAAAACGTGTTTACAAGGAGCAACAGCCTTTATTTCAGAGTTTCTCCTCCACAGTTAAAGGTCAATAAGGTAGATATTTCTAACAATATTTTTGGATTTATCCTTTTTTCACCTTAATATTTTGAAACTAACTACAATTTGGGCAAGGAAATAAATCCAGATGGAGACCAGTCTTTTTATTTCAGCTTTTAGAAATATGATGTCCTTCAAATTAAAGATTAAAAGTTTCTTTGTGTAGGCCGAGTTGTTTGTTTTTCTTCAAACAGTTTTAAAGAAAAGAAGGAATCCTATGTAGAGGAGGGACGTTTAGGAAAGCCACGACTTGCTGAATGCTCCTATGCTTTGTGAACTCTGGGGTATCCAGAGCAGTGGTGGCGTGTGATACCCAGTGAATCTTTTCAACTCCCAAATCTGTAACCAGGCTTTGACTCTAAGATAATCTGGCATGATGAGACCCTTCTATCACTCTCATCTTTCCTCTACCCATCCCACCGCCGTATAAGACTCCTTCACTGCCTCACCCTGAGGCCAAGCCTATCATGTGATATGCAGCACAGCCGTCCCAGAAAGCGGGACATCCAGGCAGCCCCCTTAGTGGAGACCTACATTAGCAAACAAAGACACACTTCCCTGCACTTCAGCGGTGAGCATCGACTCTGGCAAATTACACATTTGGCTTCACAGTGGCCTTCGGGGTTTTATTCAAACGTTACCCAAGACGACAAAAATCTGATAAGATACAATAGACTCTCAGTTTATTTCCAATACAGCCGGTTTGGAATAAAAAAAAAAAAAAAACAGATTTATAACAAATGAGACAAAAAAAAATGCAATTTGTGCTTAGAAAGGAAAAATTAAAAAATAATTATATAAGATATCTGTTTAAGGTTTTAAAGATATCAATGAAGCAATAAATAATAAGAACAGACTTTCGATAGTCAAGCTTGTGGACATGAACAAGAAATATGACTTTAGTTTTCATCGCTTACATTTATTATTTTAATTTAATTTACTGCTTTCAAACAAAATAACCACAAAACAATATTTTAAACTAAATGAAGCAGACATGGGCAATGTGGAGTCAACAAGTCATCTCCATGTCATGTATTTAATCTACCCAGCCAATTAACCAGGTGAGTCCAATCTGCACAGGTTAATTCACGGTGAAGATTGGACTCACCTGCTTCAGTGGCTGGGTAGAACAAATACATGACATGGAGATGACTTGTTGACTCCACATTGCCCATGTCTGAAATGAAGTCATCAATCAAACTATTAACAACAATAACAAAATTCCGACAAAAACATTAAAGAAGGTGTGGGTAGAATGACAAAAGTTGATTGAGAGGTTTGCTTTTTTTAAATCACTTTTTTAAATATGTCTGCTTCTGTCTCTTTGAACTGCAGTCGGCTTCGGCAGATGGCCGCTCACACTGAGCCTGGTTCTACTGGAGGTTTCATCCTGTTAAAAGGGAGATTTCCTCTCCACTGTCACTAAATGCATGCTCGGTGTGGGGGATTGCTTTTGAGTAAATGATATGCAATCAACTGGTTTTCCTTAGATAGAAAACTTTGAACTAGGGCTGGGTAAAAAAATCGATTTTCAATCGATTCCTTTACATTTTTGCAGAATCGATTTCTAGGGAATGAGATCGATTAGTTTTATAGTGACGCGCGTGATGTTCACATTCAAATGAGCAGCAAAGATGCACTCAAGATTACTTCAAGCCAGACAGCTGCAAATATACCCAATAGGTTGACTGAAGACATTAAGAAATGGGGGCTGACGAGCAAACACCCTGTAGTTGTTACAGTTAACGCTGCAAATATGGTTTGCGCAGTGAAGTTAATGCATGCTATGGTAGTAGAGAAAAAAACAAGTTTGTATGGTCCAAAGCATCCTTATTACAAAGACCCACAATGCAAAGAAAAGGTTTAGACAGAAACTGCATGTTTGCTGGATGCCAGTGGTGAGTTTTAATCATCTTATAGTTCAATTAAATTATTGCGTTCATTACCACATATTTTGCTTCTACAAATGAACAGATAATAATATCACGCATGCTGAGCTCGAGGGGAGCAAGACGGGAGAAACTGTGGAGGCTGTAGATGCTGCTTTACGAAAGCTGTCTGGGACTGAGCGCAGTGAGGCGGAGCAGCTATGGAGGATGTGGGATTCTAGGGTTATACCAATTATACCGTAGATGGAGGGAAGATGATCCTCTCTGCAGATCTAATGGTGCATTTGAGTTTCAACCCAACGTTTTATAGATTAACCAAATCCCACAGTAATGGTTTAAAAAAGTAATGATTCATGTCATCATAAAAACTGTCAAAAATTAAAAATAAATTGTTGATTGATTGATTGACTTTATTGATCTAACAGAGGAGAAATGTACTCATTACATCAGCTTACATAGTCAAAAGAGAAGAAGAAGGTGCCAAAGGAAGAAAAAGGTGCATGGGATATATACAGTATATACAGTGCCTCCACATATGACAGCTTTTTTTTTTCTTTTTATAATAATAAACAATATGTGAACTGATATACTCACCGAAAAAAGGAAAATGTTTACATTACATCTCTTGCCACCAAACTCTACAATGAGACACTAGATTGGCAATTGTGCAAAGTATAATTTGCAATTACTATTTAATACCCTGTGCAATAACCTATTTCTCTATATTTGACACCCAGTGCAATAACTATATATACAAATGTAAATATCCATCTATATAAATACCCATGTAAACACCCTGTGCAATAACCCTGTATTAGGATCCTTAAATAAAAAAATAAAAAAATAAAAAAAAAGCTGTCATATGTGGACCCACATATATACTGTATTTATCCCATGCACCTTTTTTCTTCTTTGGCAAATTCTTCTCCTTTGACTACTTAAGCTCATGTAACAAGTAAATTTCTCTAGTGTGAGATCAATAAAATCAATCGTCAATCAACTATTATAAAACAGCAACGTAAACACAAAATCAAGGTTCTGGAATGGTTATTAGAAGGTTATGAGCTCAGAGTCATTTAAAATCTAAGGGAAAAATCTGAAAATGTTTATAAATACGGTGTCTTACGAATCTGCTTTGGTTACCCCAGTTTACACAGTTGGCAGCTTCACACTGGTCCAAATTCCATGGAAACATGAACCCATTTGAGTCAATGAGTGTCTGCATTGCCTCAGCAGGGCAGTGTGTATCGCCATCTGCTAAAATTCACCCAGATCCTCTTTTTGCCAAACACCAGAATCAGCTCAGAGTCGGTCTGCACAGATCGAACTGAACCAACAGGAAGTTGAATGACCACAATGTTTTCCACTAGATAAAGGGCACATTTTCTTCAAGGAGTCTTATCTTTGTGATACTAAATATAAACTGACATTTAAACATCTAAAATAATCAATAAACAAACTATATATACAGTGGTGTGAAAAAGTGTTTGCCGCCTTCCTCATTTCCTGTTTTTTTGCATGTTTGTCACACTTAAGTGTTTCGGAACATCAAACCAATTTAAACAATACTCAAGGACAACACAAGTAAACACAAAATGCAATTTGTAAATGAATGTGTTTATTATTAAAGGAGAAAAAAATCCAAACCATCATAGCCCTGTGTGAAAAAGTGATTGCCCCCTAAACCTAATAACTGGTTGGGCCACCCTTAGCAGCAACAACTGCAACCAAGGGTTTGCGATAACTTGCAATGAGTCTTTTACAGCGCTCTGGAGGGATTTTGGCCCACTCATCTTTGCAGAATTGTTCTAATTCAGTTACATTAGAGGGTTTTCGAGCATGAACAGCCTTTTTAAGGTCATACCACAACATCTCAATAGGATTTAGGTCAGGACTTTGGCTAGGCCACTCCAAAGTCTTCATTTTGTTTTTCAGCCATTCAGTGGTGGACTTGCTGGTGTGTTAAGGATTATTGTCCTGCTGCAGAACTCAAGTTTGTTTCAGCTTGAGTTCACAAACAGATGGTCGGACATTCTCCTTCAGAATCTTTTGGTAGACAGCAGAATTCATAGTTCCATTTATCACAGCAGGTCTTCCAGGTCCTGACGCATCAAAACAGCCAAATGTAATGGGACACACACCTTCCAAAGAGTTCCACTTTTGTCTCATCGGTCCACAAAATGTTTTCCCAAATGTCTTGGGGATCATCAAGATGTGTTTTGGAAAAAATTGAGACGAGCTTTAATGTTCTTTTTGCTCAGCAGTGGTTTTCTTCTTGGAACTCTGCCATTCAGGCCATTTTTGCCCAGTCTTTTTCTGATGGTGGAGTCATGAACACTGACATTAACTGAGGCAAGTGAGGCCTGCAGTTCTTGAACGTTGTTGTGGGGTCTTTTGTGACCTCTTGGATGAGTCGTCGCTGCACACTTGGGGTAATTTTGGGTGGCTGGCCACTCCTGGGAAGGTTCACCACTGTTCCATGTCTTCGCCATTTGTGGATAATGGCTCTCACTGGGGTTCGCTGGATTCCCAAAGCTTTGGAAATGGCTTTATAACCCTTTCCAGACTGATAGATCTTAATTACTTTCTTTCTCAATTGTTCCTGAATTTCTTTGGATCTTGGCATGATGGGTAGCTTTTAAGGATCTTTTGGTGGACTTTACTGTGTTGGGCTGCTCCTATTAAAGTAATGTCTTGATTGAAAACAGGTGTGGCAATAATCAGGCCTGGGTGTGGCAAGAGAAATTGAACTCGGGTGTTAAAAACTACAGTTATAGTATATTTTAATGAGGGGGGCAATCACTTTTTCACACAGGGCCATGATGGTTTGGATTTTTTTATCCTTTATCAATAAACACCCTTATTTACAAATTGCATTTTGTGTTTACTTGTGTTGTCCTAA